GATCTCACATCACAGCTGAGCTGCTCTTACACGGAAGATCCTCCGTCGGCTAGCAAAGTGAAGGGAACGCCTGCTTACCCAAGAAGCAAAGGCTGCACTTGCACTGCTGGGTGCAGTCACGGCTGTGCTTGGAGGAAGCATTGCTGCATGGCCCTCACCTCTGTTTGTTCACAATCCTGTTTCTCCACGGGTGGGAGCAGGAGGGGGGTGTCTGTGGGTAGCAGGGAGAAGGCTGGCAAATCAGAGGATAGACAGGACTGCTTGCAACACAGAGTTGCAGCCAAACTGTAGATGAGAAGGTGCCCTGTGTCAACACCCGGCCACACTCAGAGCTTCGGGTGGTTCTGGGAAGAAAGCACTGCCCCGGCCATCGGCCTGCTCGAATTTTGCACTTTCCAAGTGCCTTGCAGTCCCCACCCCTCCAGGTGGTAAGGACTGCTGCTCTTCCACTTCTTTTGTGAGTCACCATTTAGTTTGGAGTCTGGCTATGGTTTCTCCATTTTTTCCACACAATCCTAATCAAAGTCTTAGAAATTCGGCCATCCGGGTCATCTGATTCTACCTTCTGATGTTACAGACAAGGAAGCAAACAACACGCCTGTCTTTCATCCTTCAGACACGTGTGACTTTCTTCCTGGTCCAAGGGTGAGGACTCACTCCCGCATGCCTCTCTGAGTTCCTGAACTTCTTTTTCCCCGAACTCTCCTTTTTCCACAACCGTCTTTGGGGCACCAGAGGGCAAAATGGCCATTCTGGCCGGGGCTGGAGAAACTAAGGTGAGAAGTGAGAAATATCTGAACTGTAACTCTCTCTGCCATCAACTTTCTGTAGAATGTGAGCTTGTGAGGCTTTGTTTACCATCAATTCCTTCTTCCCAGGGCCATGCTCACTCTTTTATACTAGTGATTATAAATAATCCTATAAAAGATTATTTCTTAATAACTTAAAAATCTGGTCAACTATTCTAAAACACATTAATCTGTTAGGAAACAAAATCATTCCAACTGGTTTTAGGGGGTCATGTAGATGTGGGTCAGCTAACAGTCCAGATGTTTACCTTCAACTAGTTTTAGAGGCACAGAATCCATGCTACTTCCCCCACCCCCATTTCCAGATGCCTCAAAAGCCGACGACCTGTTAATAGTACAGGGAAGCCACAAAGTGCAAAAGCCAGTGTGATGTCAAAGAGGAACACGACTGTAAGAAACCGTTGTTGACTTGAGTCATTAGCTCGTCAGATGAAGGCATAACTGCCCAGACAGTTTCGCTGCAGCTCGAGAAATCTGAGATGCGTAAAGCACGAGAAGGTGGTGGGCTCTGTTCACACCTGCCCTAAACTCCTTCGCTGCAGAGGCTCCCCTCTGGGTGACTTTACAGCCCACAGTGGCAGGAGCCCAGAAAACTGGCCTGGATAGGATCTTAACCAATCTCCTCAAAAATAGAAACTACTTGTTTTTCAAATACTCATGAGATTAACTGAATGTAATAGCACACAGTTGACATCACTTTAGATCTGAAAATCATCTTAAAAGACATGCGAATAAAAACCAGAAGACAAAAAAATATAGAACAAGGAGGGTGTGAGTTGGGAAGGGAGAGAATGGAGATGGATTTTAGAGAAACTAAAGAACCTTCAGGGGCTAAGAGAATAGGTTTCTAACTAGAGAGTAAGTGATGGAAAATAGGATTTAATGTGATATCTCAGTGCAGAGTAACTAACAAAATATCCTGTGATTAAGCCTAAGTTTCTAAGTAAATAATAATCCTTGGAAAGGAACCAATGTGAAGGGAAAATGTGAAGAGAGTGAAAAAAAGATGTGTCTACTTATGGGATCAGATCAGCAAGTATAATTACTTAGCGTTTCCATCAGAGGCTCTTCCCATTTGGTCTTCGACACAACCGTCACCTTCACAGCTAGCTGAGCACTGTAACACGCCCTCAAGGCTGAGCTCAAAGCCATGAAGAGCAGGAGAAGAAAAGCAAAACAAAATCTGTGACCAGCATTGTGCACCTGCACAGGAAATTTCTCTGAGTTGTAAAGACAAAATCTTTGCATGTTTAACCTTTTATGCAAATATCTCCTATCAGTATTGCCTGAACACATGTTAGACATGGAGCCAGCTGGGGGCCCCAAGAGGATCGTATTCTGATCATGGTTTTACACACACACGCGCACGCACACAAGCTGAATAACTTTGATGGACATCCAAAGAAATGTTCAGCCAGACTAGGACAGTGCACTGCATTTCCCCTTGACTCAGCTAAACAAATAGGTCAGGGAGAAAAAGGAAACCATTCATGTGTGTTCATAATGGCCCGTTCACCGTCTTACCCTCATCCCGTAAGAGAGCTCCTGAAGAGGACTATTAACAAGACAGAAGCCATCACAGGAAATACCCGCACGGGGCCCGAGTGGACACCCGCCCCGTGACTGCGGCCTACGTCAGTAACAGGTGAGGCCGTCCAAAGGAGAAGCGGTTTTCTGTTCTGACGTTCAGGTTCCCACCATGCTCCCTCCAGGCTGCCTGCAGTCTTAACGGCTGTTTAAAACTTTAGACCAAGCCAACCTGCTGACAGACAGTCTTGAAACCAGTGACTCCCGCTGAAACTTACTTTCCAATTGCCTTAATCTAATCCACGCTGTAATGTACTTTCAATGGTTGAAATGAACAGATACGTCGGCCTTCCAAGTTGTTGAGGCTTCAGCCTCCGCTCACATTCAGCGTCAGCAAGCCTGACGTCACGCTTTCGTCTGTTCTCCAGCACACGCACTGTCAAGTTTGGCTAAGAGACCCGAAGGAGAAACAACAGCTTCGAGTTGGAGACGTGGTGAGATCCAGTTCCTTAACCACGTGGAGGGGTCCTTGTGCATGTCGGCGCAGGTGCATGACCACCAGCCACCCAAACCCCGGTTTCCACTTGGCCTCCCACCTCCAGTGTCTCCAGTGTATGTACAGACCTTCCCACCTCGTTAGGCATGTGCCCTGGCTGTGATTTCCCAACAACAGGCATTCACAGGCATCTGAGTTGAGTGCTTACACATGCACTGGCTTCTGCAGTTACATATTCACAGGCAATTACACAGCAGCGTTGTTATTTGCCAAATGCAAAGGATACAGTAAAATCATTAGATATTTTTAAGCTCTAACAAAAGCAATTTGTACAAGTCACTTCAAAATTACGATAATCTCCGAGCGATGCAGACACAGCACTTGCCTGTGGCCCAGTCAGGCCCTGTCACAAGAGAGGAAGTGGGGATTTTCTTACGGTCAGGGCAGGACCTCAAGCCTAGCTTTTGAAATGCTCACACCACACGTTTCCAACAAAAGGGAGATAAATGTTTGTTCAAATAGAATTCCTATTTCTTTTGATAACTGGCAGCCATGCATTCCCTAATTATTTTTAAAAATGGCATAAAATGTATCCACATTGCTGTTTTCCGTGGCGTCAGGTCCCACAGACTTCGCTGGCTGCTTAACCGAAAAGAGATGCTGTGCACCTTTGAGAGCAACCCTCAGGTCAAAACCAGACGCAGAGGACGGAGCTGATGACTTTGTCAGACACCCACAGTGATATCCGATTACTCTCCCCAAAGATGGAAAAATACCAACCATTCAGATAGTCGTTTGCAATATCTGAAATTCTTACCAAATGCCATTTTTTTCCAGTAAAAATGAATTGAAGAAATGCACTGACTTTTGCTCTAAGATCATAACTGAGCAAAGAAAGTCCAAACACGGGCAGTCCCTGAAATCAGCCTCTCTGGAGGTGAGCGAGGCAGCACCACTGCCACCCAGCTCTGTGAGATCCAGAACGCACTGCCCAGGGAGAGCCAGATCCAGACTGCGCCCTAACACACACACAAGCCACGCAGAGGGTTCCAAGTGAACACAGACAGTCATGTTTTCTGTGCAGGAAGGACTTTTGTGACTTTGTGTTTCTCATGACGTCAAGGGAGAAGAGCCACGGACTCCATTTTGGAGACACACGCCCGGTCCCCAAGTGCCCTGCCCGGACTGGCGCCCGCCACCGACGCCACCACACGGCTCCACTCAGGAAAGAGAAGCGACCCCAAAACACAATTTCCCCACCCTCCTGGGTTCAGATCACTCCCCTTCGGCGCTCTCTCACCTCCTCTGCAATAATCAATAACAAAACATTTGCATCCGGTTCATTTTCCCTTTGGATTTTAGCTGCAGCCCAGAAGAAGCTTGACTGGCTCCTTTGGGGCCACTGCGGACCCAGTTCAGAACGCTTTAAGTGAAATGAAAGGTGTCTGTTTGGGTTTCTTTGATGTGGAAATCAGCTATCCCAGTATCACTTTTGTTTCCACAGGAAATTTTCCATCTTCACTTTTTCTGGGTACGATTCTAGGCAGAGGAGTCCCCAGCTGCCTTGACCACAACATCCCCCTGAGATGACAGCACATCACCAGATTTGCTTCAGACCTCACCTCCAACTTCAGGAGGAGCCAAGGGCTGCCTGTGCAGGGGATGAGGATTCAACATGACGCAACCCTGAGCATCCTTGGATGGGAGAAGCATGGGGGCAGCAGCCTCCCTCCTGCTGCCCCCGCCGGCAACAGACACTAGGGGACAGTCCGGCACCCCACCCTCCAGACACAGGTGTCCTGCACACAGACGTCAATACAGGCCACACACCCACAGGACAGTTTGTCACCCCCACGATGTGACAGCAAGGCCGGCAATCTCCCATCCATAGCCTGGCCTCTTCCGGCCTCCACTCCTATCTCAACCCCCTCCCCACAGAGTTGCAAGTTCACCCAAATTTGGGTCTCCAGCGTCAGCCTAATCAGCTCGTTCCCGCCCCACCCCCAATTTCCTGGAGACACATGTAAAATCCCATTTGTGGGGGGAAGAGTCTTCTCAAGTTGCCCTGACACAGGGACCTAGGAGGCTGGCTGGCATTCCTGCAGAGGAGCTCAACTCCAAAACCTCCCCTGCCGGCTCTTCCCTCTCCCTCCTCCCCCGCCCCCTACCTTGCTCCTCGCTGCTGCCCTCAAACCAGGCAGTGGGTTCCTCCTCTGGGAGCGGGGACTCTCCTCCACCTCCTCCACCCTCCAGGGCTTTGCGTTTCTTCGACATCTCTGCCGGGGCTGGGGCTCTGGGATGCTCTTTCCCCACCCCCAGCCTCCCCCCTCGGAGAGGAGAGTGAAGGTGGGGTTAGGTGGAGGGGGAAAGGCAGGCAAAAGGGGTGGGGAAGAGAGACCAGGGAGGGAGACTGATGGAGTGGAGCTGCTGCTTAAGGAGGGAAGGCACTTTGGAGAGGCAGGAAAGGCAGGAGGAGGCAGGGGCCAGCGGCTCAGTTCACCAGTGCGGCCGACGTCTAGGGGGCTGTCTGCTCTCTCTCTCCCTCTCTCTCTCTTTCTCTCTCTCTTCCCTCCTTCCTCCTTTTCTTCCCACTAGAAGGGTAAGCCCAGAGGGAAAGAGAGACCCCAAAACCCAGGGAGGAGAGGCTCCTTGGCCGCTCAGATGATTTCCTTCTAGTTTAGGAGGGGGCTAGGCTGGGTGCTGTACCAGGACCTCTGCATGTCCCTGAAGGATTGGTGGCCTGGGGTGGGGTGGGTGGCAGTAGTTCTGGTGTTTGGGAGGGGGCGTTTTCCATGGATTGCAAGGGAAATGGGTGGAAGGAAGAAAATAAAATGCTGCAGGATGCAATGGAGTGATGCCCTCAGGTGTTAGAGGGACAGGACCCCCTCATCCTCTGTGACATCACATGAGCTTTGGCAAAGGGGGCTGGGGGAGGTGGGGAGAGGATGGAGGAGAGTGGCAGCAAAGGCCAGAGGTGGGAAGAGTGGGGAGGCGGTCTTGTCCCCATTCAGAACTGAGGAAGGAAGCCCCGGAAGGAGGAAGGAGGGTGGGGGCACAGCTGCAGCTCCTCTTGGCCACCTCCTGAGGCCCCTTTGGGTCTAGCAAAGCAACCGTGGCCGTTTGCAGCTGGAGGGCAGCCTTCGCAAGGAGCTGGGAAACTTGGTCCAAGCAGTGGCCAGAGGCAATCACTCAGGCGCTGGAGTGGACTGTGGTCCCTCTCAGCTCCTCTGCCCCCCCTTGAATCTTCTTCTAGCTTTATCCATTCAGGTCTCTTTTTTCTCCCCTCCACTCATCACTCCTCCTCCAAAACAGTGTTGTCCCCAAACTACACACATGCGTACACACACACACACACATACACATACTTACTGCCAAAAAGGATGAAGGGAAATGATAGTAAGTTTTTTTAATGTAGGAAAAAGGTTGGAATTAAGCTTTTCTGGACTCTCAAGGGTTAAATAATAGATAAAAGGAAGGGTCCACTTACCCGCCAAAGTATGCGAAGTGCCTCTTTGCTGTCCCCTTCAAGTTCATACATTTAAAAAAGAGATAAAAAGAAGGAAAAAAGGCAGTCGGGCCAGGAGTGCGGTGGGTCCAGAGCTCCATTGAGAACTGCGCAAAACAAGTTGCCAGTGAGTCCAGGTGGCCCAAGTTCATGACCTCTCCAAGAACACTCTCTGCTGCTCCGCTCCGCAGGCGTTTTCCAAACGCTCCGGGCAGTCTGCCTTTCGCGCTGATCTTCTGGGAAAATGGGGAGACAACTCAAGCCGTGTGTGGCATCCTCTTTCCCTCCTGTCCATCTGGGGGTCTCCGCGAAAGCGCCGCCGAGCGCCCTAGGCGCCAGAGGAGACTGGCCCATTTCGGTTCACCCTCCCTGTGGTCGCAACTTTGGACCCACGCACCTACAGAGAACATGAGTGCGAGTGTGCGCGTGTGCTTGAGTGTGCGTGTGCGCGCTTGTGCCAGCCTGGGTGCCTGCGCGCACCGGGCTTTGGGGTGCATGTGCTCTCAGGAACGACTCTCCCTGGCTGCCTGGAACTTGGAGAGTTTTCCTTTAAGCCGGAGCTGCTGCTCGGACACCCCCCCGCGTCCAACAGGAGGCGATGACGTCTGTAGCCTCGTTGCCAGACAGTCCCCAGGCTGCCGCTGCTGTTCATTGACAGGAGCGGGCGCTCAGACGTCAGCAGCCGGACCTTTGGCGAAGCTGCTCCCGCGGAGACGGCTCCCACCCCCGCACCTGCCAGCCCGCCCGGGGTTGGGGGCGGGGAGGGGGGAGAGTAATGAAATCAAAGTCGCTGGGGAGGGGACGGAGGGGGGAGGGGGACGGGGCGGGAGGGTGGGGGGCTCTGGGGCTGGGGGAGGAGGGGACTCCGATCTGCCCTCTTTGTCCTGGAGCTCCAGAGTTTATAAATAGTGCTGTCGCCAGCCAGACTCGCCCCCGCCCCGCCCCCCGCACGTCCCGCAGTGCCCCCGCCTCTGCCTTGTCACTTGGTGCTGGGCTGGCCCTCCTGGGAGAGAGGCGGGGAGGGGGCGAGGAAGCAGGGAGTGGAAACGGACGTTGCTTTTCTCGCTCTTCCCATTCATAGATTCGGTTTGTGTCTTGGGGCCGCCGCTGGGCTCCGGGAGTCTCAGTGAATGGATGGATGCCCGCGCGTCGGGAACGCGGGATCCGCGGGGATGTCGCCCTCGTGGGGGGCGCTTTTCCCACGCGGGGACATGCGTCCTCGCCTCGATGGGTGGGAGGACCCCCAAACGATCACCCAGAAGAGACTAAAGGTCTGCCCTTCCCCGCCCCTCCAACCCCGGGGTCTTTTCTGCCCCTGCAATGCTAGAACGCAAAGCGCTCAGCGCCAGCACGGTGGAGAGGCGGGACGCGCGCGCAGCCAGGGCCAGTCTGAGACCCAGACCTAGCAACAGGGAGGGGAGCGGCCACGTGGCGCTGGGCAGTGCCTGGACTCGAGGGTGTCACCGCCCTCTGCGCACCCTGCGCGGCCCAAGCCGGCTTGCTCACCCCTCCAGAACCCCAGGGGTGCGCTGCGCGCGGTAGGGGGCGCGGCGTGGGGGCTGCAGGGGACCGCGGGGCGGGGTCCCACCCGAGCC